TAGCCACCAGGCTTTATCTTTTAACTCCACGCCTCTTGCCAAGACCCTCGCATTTACTTCTCTTACAACCCCATCTATAAATATATTAAACAACCATGGTGACATCACACATCCTCTTCTATGTGCGGGTTATTTGTGTATTGTTCCAGTCACGGTATTGTGTCTTTTTGTTATTTATAGCTAGTCGTAATTTAGTACTCAATACATGTTACTGTCATGAACCAAACAATCGCAAAGTGTTAAGCTTATGAGTATCTCGAGTGTTCATTTCGTTCTAACATCAGAAATTTAAATATATAGAAGAATAATTTCTAACAGTGTACACATAACTACAGCAAGTTATACATATGTTGCTACGATAAACCGGGACTGACCAGAAGTACAAGGTGGTTGTTAGACGTGGCGATAAGGTTTTGGTGTAAAATGGCTTTAAATATTTTGTAATTGTTGACACTACAGTGTGGAACCTACATAAAATTAAATTCATAATTTCATGCGAGGGACGCATCCATTTCCTAGAAGGATCACATGCCGCCCTCGGGCCGCATGTGATTTTCATGCTGTAGACCAGGGGTCTGCAGCATGAAAATTGACAAGACTACTGAAGAATGGAAACCTTTATTTAGACAATTTTTCACTTTGTGGCCAAGTTTTTTCAAGTCTAAAGAGTACATGGTGTAAGCATAGGTATAAATACCTTGGAGAGCACGTGACGATGAGCACAGGTACAAACTTTTGTACAACCAGCAGTATGTCAACAATATCACCTTTTCCCTACCAGTTGTAAGCCATACTTTATAGAAATAAAGTTCATCATTTGTCAAGTCAGAGGTCCCGACAACTGGAAACTTCGCTGATTTTGGATGATTGTGTCTGAAAGAGTTTATTCAAGGTATTTTCTGTATTTTTCATGGATAACCATGCTCGACCGTATTATGAGGTAAAACAGTTCATGATATTTGTGTGAATCATATCTGGTCGTATACTATGTCATAACCACTACAAGGGAAGGTGTAGTGGTTATACCTGAGAACTAGAAGTGTTCTCGGGCATCGTTAAGTTGGGAAGGTTAAAAATAGGTTGCTGTTGGTATTGCCTCTCGGAGTGTTAATTAGTTTCTGCGCTTTCCATCTACAAGGGGATCCGAGATTCTGAGGCAGTTGTCTTAAAGAAATTCAAGGCTGAAGATTTTGAGAGCCCTCAGAAAGAAATCCAACAGAACAACTCTTTGTTCTAGTGGAGTGATAACCAACCAGCTTTACAAGCAACAGCAGGGTATGGCCATGGGGGACGGGGTCCCAATCAGCGTTGTCTATATGAGACTCTTTTAAGCCGAATGATTCCACATCATCTCTGCTTGAGTATCCTGGATGAGATACGTCAATGACATCCATATCATTACACTTAAAATCGCCTACGGCTCAGAGACTATCTGTGCTATGGAGCCTTCCGTTCCCTTTGTTTTTAGATGCATAAGAAACCGCTAGAATTCCCTTCAATTTAGTGTGTGCCATAAACCCACCAACCCAATAATCTCATTCATCCCTAGTCTCGCTACCCCACTACAACCAAGGGAGGTGTTCAGTTGGGTTTCTTGTTAAAGGTACACAAATTCTGCAGCCACTAATTACTGGAAGACTAGTGCCTCAAAATTAGAGAGATCTTCCGCAGTTCATATTGTTCTGTTACCTTCATGATTGGGAAGTCAAGCACAAAAAATATTTAACATCAAGAATTAATATCAGCAGTAACCGTTTTTAAATCTTCTGTGCTTCTACGGTATCTGAGAATTATTCTTGGTTGCTTATAAAAAGTCAGTTATAATATCTCTACTGCCACCACTACTCAATTACAAGAGCATTAACACCAGCCCCCAGGAGAATGTAGGCATCTAAACCATTAACTGTAGTGGTTGTATACGACCAGATATGTTGATCACACACACACACACACACACACACACACACACACACACACACACACACCACACTGCTGCAGCATATGGGCGCCTGGCAAACCTGAGAACAGCATTCCGACACCTTAGTAAGGAATCATTCAAGACACTGTACACCGTGTATGTCAGGCCCATACTGGAGTATGCAGCACCTGTTTGGAACCCGCACTTGATAAAGCACGTCAAGAAACTAGAGAAAGTACAAAGGTTTGCAACAAGGTTAGTTCCAGAGCTAAGGGGAATGTCCTATGAAGAAAGATTAAGGGAAATCGGCCTGACCACACTGGAGGACAGGAGGGTCAGGGGAGACATGATAACGACATATAAAATACTGCGTGGAATAGACAAGGTGGACAAGGACAGGATGTTCCAGGGAGGGGACACAGAAACAAGAGGCCACAATTGGAAGTTGAAGACACAAATGAGTCAGAGAGATAGTAGGAAGTATTTCTTCAGTCACAGAGTTGTAAGGCAGTGGAATAGCCTAGAAAAGGACGTAGTGGAGGCAGGAACCATACACAGTTTTAAGACGAGGTTTGATAAAGCTCATGGAGCGGGGAGAGAGAGGGTCTAGTAGCAACCGGTGAAGAGGCGGGGCCAGGAGCTAGGACTCGACCCCTGCAACCACAAATAGGTGAGTACAAATAGGTGAGTACACACACACACACACACACGACTTGAGAGGCACCTCACGACTCCATCTGCTCTCCCAAGTATATATACCTCTGCTTACTATACTTATCTTTAAACATTACCTCGTGGAAAAAAACAACAAACAGTAACGCAAAAGATCCTTTGTGAAACCGTGTTCCTATCAAATTATGTTGATCACAGCGACAAAGTTGCAGTTATTATTGCACAATACAAATATGCACACGAATGAAGTCAGAGGTCACCCTGGTCATCTCCCATATCGTGACATTACCGGTTTACAATAACTATTAGACCAATTAGAGTTTGATTAATTGCCTTTTGGCTTTCTTAAGAACTCTTCCTTAATCGTAGTTCGTATCATGTACGCTAAATATTTAACTGACAATTTATTATTGTACATGCATCGAAAGGCCAGTGTACACAGCTACAAGTATTTCTATGAACTACACACGTCAAGAGTGCTTTTTCTAACAACGAGTATGTGCACATGGCGAGAATGCTTTTCCTAACAACGAAGCATATTTCTCAATATAAACAATTCAAACCTATTTTTAAGGTATAGAGACTTTCTCAATGTAGTCATATCGAGGGGAATATTTCTGTTACATCAGTAAATACCTTCAGTGATCATAGCTCCAGTCTACACACGTCAAGTTTACTGTAATCCATGTCTGCTGGACAGTAACTTCTATTTGATGATTAAAAACAAATTACAGCGTAGCTTTAATGATCCTTGCAGTATAGGTCTTAAACCAAAACACTAACTATAAATGTCTTAGGAAGTATCCATAGGCGCTGGACAGGCACCTAAATTCAGTACCTGACCAGCCGGGCTGTGGTTCATACGTCGATTTGCGTGCAGCCAGCAGTAAGAGCCTGGCTGATCAGGCCCTGATCCACCGCGAGGCCTGGTCACAGATCGGGCCGCGGGGGCGTTGACCCCCGAAATCCTCTCCAGGTATACTTGAGAATTTTCTTCTTCGAGATGTGCAATTAACATGTTTAGGCACTACCACGGTTGGGTCACTGCGCACTACTTACCAACAACACTTCACTACTCTATAATTTACACAAAGTATCCACAAGTACTCAGTGTTCACCAACAGCCTCACTAGATGTATACCTCCAAATTATCATATTTGTGGGAGAGGCTAACCCCGTAAGTCATGGTGTCTGTATACCTCTTATTTTTTCTCAACACTGCGTATCTATCAGGTTTCTACGCCACAGTGGAGTCGCGTCAGGCAGCTGCATCATTTAGTAATATGCTCGCAGCTTGGTATATCACCATCGATCCAGTCTAGTAAGGTTCCACTGTTTCTGCCACAGTAAACAGTACTAAACCATTATAGCTTTTTATATTAACTATCGTGTAAACCGCTTATAATGGAAATAGCGTTTTGGCTGGCTTTTAAGTGGTTTTTAAAACAAATTATATATACAGGAGACATGTAAATATAAATGCTTTGGTGTATATAACGAAAAGAATCCCACGACTGCAAGTGCTTCAAAGTGGTGCAGCCAGGAAATAACTGAGAAATGGGTGCGTGCGCATTGCACACAAGGGTGGGGGCAGGAGCGTTTGTGCGGGGAGACGATGGGGATGTGGGATGGGGGGGTAGAAAGGGGTCAAAATTTGTGAAGTGGGGAGAGTAATGTCATTGGGAAAGGGAAACAAGTGCCAAGTCTCAGTGGATTCTCATTAATATCTGAAAATATAGCAGTATGGAATTTTATGATAATGTTTCCATCTTTCACCATCAGCATAAAGCTGCATGTACAGTCTCTTAAACCTCTACGTGTAGACAAACGACAACACCTCTGCCCTTCCCAATACACCTGCGCCAGCTGACACCACACTACTAGGGGGAGGAATCTCAATGCTGGTGAAGCGCTCTTTCATCCACGAAATCTGACCTATTCTTTTCCTTGAATCAAATTTGATTACCTACCAATCTACAGGCGCAATATGATCCTCATAGTTAAGAGCTTCCCAGTGTTTATGAATATATCATCACAGGAATGATATTCTGTGTATCAAAATAATTAGTTATTAACTACCTAAATATATTTACCGTGCGAATCTGAACGAATTTTTTTTTTCTAGCCGCTACACTAGATACTGGTCTGACCAGGCTTTAAAATTATCCTGACAGTCTAGGTAACTTTAGCAGATGCGTCATTCAACAGCAGAAAAAACTGCTCTTCGCTTACATATATACACATATATATGCACATACGCATGCACACATGGACTTCTACTCTAATCCCTGTAAAATGTGTGTGAAAAATACACGAAGGGGTGAATTTTGAGGACTGCGAGTGGTGTAGCCGGATACAACAATAAATGCAACAAAGAAACTAGATAAAAGTAGAGAAAACGTGGTCTTACCGGACTATCAGGAGGTCTAGGACTGAGCATGGAAGTGTCGTCTGGGGCCTCATTGGGTAGCTGCTGCGGCTGCGGTCTTCGCTGAAAGGGAGGAGGTCGTTGTTGTCTCACAGGCGGCTTCCGAGCAGGTAGTGCGGGTCGTTGTCGGGGTTGGCTGAGGGGCGGTGGGGAGAACCCTCCGTCAACCTCGTCTTGCTGTCTGTTTAAAGCGTTAGTCCTGCGAGGGCCCGGAGGGGCCGCTCTTCTGACTGGGGAGGACCCATTAACTGAAGGAGGAGCTGGCGATACTCCCCTTGGGGGAGTCCCGCGGAAGCCAAAGCGATTAGCGTTGGAGGGTGAAGGGGAGGGGGCAGGTGATGGGTCTCTGCTGTAGCCTCCACTGCTGCCAGTACTGCCTCGCCCGTTGTAGTTTTGGTTGGCATCCAGGAGGGAAGAAGTGGACTTGTGGTGAGCAGGAGGGCGGGTCTGTGGAGGGCGGAGACCTCTGGGTGGTGGGGAGCGAGGTTCATTGTTATTGGGGCCATTTTGTTGAAGAGCAGCATGGCTTTTTGAACGTTTCATCACTTCGGGGTCATAGCTAAACTGTCCTCGGTCCACACTCACACCGCGAGTTCGAACTATCCCCTTAACAGGTTTCGCCGGCGGTCGACCAACTCCAGTACTACCACCTCTAACAGGCTCCAGAGGGTAGCTCTTGTCCCTCCCAACGGGGCTCTGACCGTAGCCATTACTTCTTCTCTCTTGGAAGAGCTTCCTGACGCGTCCCTGACCGCCGGAGGAGTTGAGGGAAGAGAGGGAGGATAATGAGGAGGAGAGGGTTGAGGCTGAGGACTTTGTGATCCGCTGGATGGTGCCCTCCCTCTCGGCCTCGTGCCTGGCCGCCATCTGCAGCAGCCGAGACTCCTTCTCCACCATCAGCTGCTCCCGCAGTCGCGCCTGAAACAATGATTAAGATTAGTCTAAAGTGACACGTACACTTGTACACTGCGCCAACACTTGTACACTATGCCAACACTTGAACACTGTACCAAAGCATAGATTACATTATACCACAAACATTATAGACTATTTTGCTATCAACACTTACACTAATCTACAATTGGGTTGTGGTGGGCCTGGCGGGTCTGGTGCTGCTGACTAGGCTGGTGTGCTATTTACTATTTGCCAAACCACTGGTCGATACACTTGACCTGTTTTGTTAGCTACGTGTGCGTGCAGGTGTGTGGGGGTGGGGTGTGAGTAGTGGGTAAAAGTGAGAGATCGCTGGCTAGTCCACAGTGGGTGAGTTGGTGACAAACAAAACAGTGAAACTTGTACTTTAGTACCCCATTGTACCACGCAACTGATTTCTGAGGTATATGACCCATACGTCTTATTTTTCAGGACATAAGCAAATTCAATGTTATCAGCTCAAAATGCTGGGCGGGCCAGAAATCAGTGAAAAACAATGTAGAGTGGAAGTTTGTTCTGCAAAATGGCGGATGCATAAGGACAGGATTGGGTGGGGGTGAGATAAAAATAAACTAGGAACTTTAAGATTAGCAGTAATACCTGGAGTTTACCTGGAGAGAGCTCCGGGGGTCAACGCCCCCGCGGCCCGGTCTGTGACCAGGCCTCCTGGTGGATCAGAGCCTGATCAACCAGGCTGTTGCTGCTGTTAAATACGTGACTGACCTGACTAGGTCAAGGCGTTGGCTTAAGTCGGTGGGAGAATTGGACCTGCTTCGCATAGGCCAGCAGGCCTGTTACAGTGTTCCTTCTTATGTTCTTATGTTTACATGTATTATGTAGTCATCAAGAGGGAGGGGGGTTACACTACACAACCCGCAAGCAGATCATATCATGAAGTGTAAAGAGACAAAGAACTTTCCTCTAAGTCTAAGCTGACGGAGAGTAAAGAAAGCATCTTCAACTCGACACTTAGTAAAGAGAATGAGCTATGTATATAAATTTTGGTTGATGGGGACTTAAAAATATTTGACGTTTCGTAGAGTAGACGAAATTTTGTCACTCACGGTAAGCCTAGATAATTTAAATATTGATCGAGGCTTAAGATTCATTATAACATATCAGCGATTTATTGATGTTTTGATCCTGAATAGGATCAACTACTGCCATATTGTAGAATTTGCACACCAGCGTGTTTTCTTCCTCAGCTAAGTCCCTGGGTCAAAGGCACCACAAATCTGATCATCAAATGATAAATCCAAGGCAGCAATTTCCTTATTCCGATAAAAACAAAAAACCCGGGCCGGGAGAGTACAGGCGAATAAATAATAATAAAAAAAACACTTTCCCCCATACCCCACTCCTAACTGAGGGTAAAAATAAAAAGAGTACAAACTATTTAAATACTGTCCCCAGTGACAGTATTTAAATAGGATGACTATTACCCATTACATTAGAGACTAGGCTTCGAATGGAAGAAGCGAGTTTCCAAAAATGCTTACGCTGAATGACCTAAACGGGTTTGGCGGTTGAAATACGAACAGACAACTTAAATAGGATACAATACAATAGTCAACGAAATCTGTACAAGAAGTGCTATACATGAAGTAACAAGTGAAGTCCCCAGAATAGAAGAAAATAGTACAGTACAGATTACTGATGTACAGCACTATGGTCACCTGAGAATGCAAGGAAAAAGAGTGGAGGTGGACAAGAGTAGAACATTATTAGTATAAAGACAATATGCAAAATACGTTTTTATTGGGACTAAGTAGTCAAAATAAAATCTCTAACTGCATATCTTTTTTATACCCATTCCTGTCGGCATTACGCCTCAACATTGAAGATGAAGTAGAAAATGTACATTCACCAGCACCAACACTACCATCCCAAGACCCAAGATCCAACAAGTATCTTGATTGGGGTGAAATATCTTTCTGTACCACAGAAAATTATCCTCGAGAAATGGAGCCAGCTGAACTCAAATCTCACCTCATCCAAAAAACAGTCAAGTTTGTTGAACATCCTGACGTTGATTGTAAAAGTGAACTTTCAGAACTTATAAAGCATCTTGAAACAATTATCAAAGACCCTCGATATCGACACTTGTTAACTCGTCTTATGATAATTTCTACCCAACGCTTTAAACGACTTGAAAATGGATCAGCATTCATCAAGGAAAATTACTTCGCTAAGAAAAAACGCCACAATTCCAGATAACCACCAAGCCATTATGAAATGACCAATCAACGTTGAGCTCCTCCCTTGTTGCCTGCAGCCACCAATCACCATCAAGAAGCAGCAAATCTTCCATCCAGCAAGTTGCAGTCAGCTCCTACAGAGTTCCTGTTGTCTCTACGTCGTCTTTTATCATTGTTATCCAGGCTTAGCAGTTGGGTTTAGTCCTGACTCTTCTCTCTTCGACTCAAGACATTCCTCTCCCCGTCTATTCTTCGCACTGTCCCCACTTGCCCCTCGCCCCTTGTGGGTACTTACCTGTGAGTCCTATCGTATCGTATCCTCAACATCCTGTGCAGGCCAAAACTTGACGCACGAACACAAGGAAAAGATTAAAGTTGTGCCATCTATAACAGACGGGTCTATAATTTCATTATTGCCGCATCATAGGGAAACTAGAAACGAGCCCTAAGTTTATTATAACTTACAAATTAATCATAATTTTATTCTAATTATGTTTACGTGGAAACACTAAACTTGTTACGGCTAACAAGTGCCTGGGAATGGAAAGTTGTAATCGGATTAGGTCTAAGTAAGGGAGGAAGTTGCGAGATTTAATGAGCGCTTTGATCTGTATCCAAGTGGGAGCAGGTTAGCTCCAATTCCTTGCATCAGGAGTCTTTCACTAGCATCAAGGCACTTTCCTTGATGTGAGTTTACATAAATTAGTGTCCTTACTGTTTCCACAGTGACCTAAACTAGTTACAATTTTACTGAACCGTGTGTAAAGTGACTCAGTGTAGCAAGGCGGTGGAGATTCTTTTCGCGTTGAGGGAGTATTTGGTCACTATGTAGGTCACTGGTTGAGGCGAGATAAAATGTCTACTTACAAAGGAGTGAACAACGATACACGCAATTTGCCTCGCCTACCCAGTTGATTCTTTCGTACATTCAATGGACTTTACATGTCCAAAATCCGCAAAACTCAAGTACTTTTTCTGAAAAAGACAACAGCTTCACTTCGATAATCTATTTCTACAATGTTACTGGTTTATTATCGGTAACTTGTAGCTAGTGTTAGAGCGTTTAGGTTACAATTGAAAGAACTTATTCAATCCTGGGCGGAGCAAGGTATATAGGCAAGACTACTTTTTCCTGCCACATTCGTTCACTTGAAGTAAATGGATATCTAGGTGTTAGTCTAAGGTCGTTTCCTGGGGGAGGATGAGGAAATATGCAGCACTACCTGGCTTTTCTGGGTATCCTGGGATGTTAATCCTCATGGATAATAAAAGAAAATTTATGTCTACGTTCTGAGGAAGCACCTTGAACAACTACCTGAACTTCTAAAGTAATATTCATAACTCAACAGCCTCGCTGATCAGAGACCAGGCAATGACTGGTGGACGGAAGATCGATCCTCTACCACACCTCGTGCTGAATGACCTACATGAATTTAGCACTTCATGAATAGAGAGAATAAGACGGCTGTAAAGGTAAAAATAAATCCATAACTGGGACTCTTATATATTAGTGATAAAGGAAAACTAGCCAACAAAAACCTTGTCTCCATACTTTAACTAAAATGACCAGTCAATAGTAACGTGATTATACATTATTCATTGTCCGTGACTGATTATTCAATCTTCCTTCCGGATAACTTAACGAATGGTGTTATTAGTCAAATTCATTTCTCCCATACTTTACATACAGTATTTCTGTCTCTTAATTTAACAGTTGCTTTGACCGGCAAGTCTAAGTTTCCCTCACTGATGCAACCAGGATTTGAATCCGAGGGAGCTTCATCATATGGTGAAAAAAAATCGAAATCAGTTTTAAAAACGTGATTTTTGGTATGTGTGCGAAATCACTTAAACCACCGTGCTTTCGTGGTCACCGGTATACTTAACAGTGAAAATTAACAAATGAAAGAAAGTTGTGGAAAATACTGTATATTTTCCGGATTATTATTATAATAAAGGGGAAGCGCTAAACCCGGAGGATTATACAGCGCCTGGGGGGGGGGGATGTGGAAGGCATTCAGGCTTAATTCGGGGGAACTGGAGCACAGATCCAATTCCCTAAATCAAGAGCCCCTCACCAACATCAAGGAACCTTCCTTGAGGGGTATATTTTCCGGAAATACGGTAATTTATAGGTAAATAGATAGCCTATATTGTATATAATAAAAATTATGTTATCGAAAATGGGAAACCTTGCACCTGCGCAGAGGGGACTCGCCATTGTTGTTTGAATGGAGTAACAGACGTTAGTTAATAATGCGAAGAATTTTCGTGCTCTAGAGTAAAATTGGGTTGACACCTCTCAAATAGGAGGCGAAATTGTTGGATGTGCATTCCTGCATAACTTGAGATATCAGGCAACTGGATAAGACAGCTCCAGGAACCTCAGATAAGTCTGTTATGTTTAACTCTGGCCAGTGTTATTTCATGTATAGACAGTGAGATTTTCTGAGTATGATACACATTAATCTCCAGTCAAATTGGTGAGTGATATTAAGATATTCTCCTTCTGTTATGTAAATGTGTATATATAATCACTTATTAATTTTAATATACAGTCCACAAATTTATATATTTACCAGAATTCTTGGTGTATGTACATTTCATTTGTAATTAATAAGTCTAGAGCAACTTGTGGATATGACAGTTGTAGGTATCGAAGGGGGACATTTTTTGTGACCTAGGTGTCCCAAATTCCTACTTGTCTGTGTAACTCTGATAAATAATAATTATCTTTGTTATCATTTACTGTTATGTACATAATGAGTTACATTCAGATAAATGCAA